ATTAGCATGTATATTTGAAGGGTATGATCTGCTGTAGCTGGCCTATGTAATTTCAGTGGCCCAATTCGAATAAATAAAGCAAAAAAAAGCCTTCAAGGCCTGTGCCTTGGGCTTAATTGCGCCTTGTTCCAGTCGCGCGCTTTAATCGTGCCTTAGTGAAGTCGCTTTGCCTTGACCATTGCAAGGCGCAGGGGGTGGGCATGGCTGGGCCTTGTGCCTAGGCGCGCTTTTAATAGCACTAGTTAGATTTGACTGGAAATAATTGGCATGATCAATCTGCTGTTGGTCCTTCATTATAATATGAAAGAAATTCTCTTTTTTTTTTTACATGGTGTATAACTAGAATTGTCCATTTCATTCAGTGGTTAGCACAATGGTTGTGCAACTTAAATGTCGAGTGCCTTACCCTCTATTACTGATTAAATGGCTATGGGGTTGCTTCTCTGATTCACCACTCTGTGAAAAACACAACTGTCAATTCCTCAGATTGTATCGAGGATATGCTGAAATTTGGTTACATTAGAAGTCTATAGTTAGGTTGATCCCAAAAAAAAAAAAAATTACAAATCTATAGTTAGTCTGTTTACAGCAACATTATTATCAAATGCCCTCTAGGTAGCTTCTCTAAGCAGTAAGAACTTAGAGCTTAGAAATCGAGCAGGAATCATCCCAAGAAATTTATTAATGCAATTTTTTATTTTTTTAATACTGAATCGCTTGTAATCTAGGGAATAATATAAGTTGCAGGATTAGGGTTTTGTCACTTAACTGCTGTTCTGTAAAAGATGCAGACATTTCTAATCAAAGTACCTGAGGCTACCTGATTTTATGGAATCATTTTTCGTGGTGGTTATCTCATATTGTAGTGTGAATGCTTGTTCAATACAGACTGAATAGCCTACTGACCTCTAATTGCGATTAGGACTGACTTTTTAGTGGAAGTGTGTGCATGCCGAACCTGTCTTTGGTATTAATTGCTCGGTTTTGCATTTTTCATTCTTCTTCTCTGACCCTCTGATTTTCCTTTTTCATGAAGTGTGGTATGCATGTTGTGTTTCCCACTTTCAAATTCATACTTTAACATGACAGTAAGTGTCCCACTATCTCACAAATGTGTTCTTTAAGTGATCCCACTAATTTATTTATTTATTTATTTTTTATTTTGAGGAAACAAGTGGTTTCACTATTATTAGAGATTACAAAGGGCACCTGCTGTTCACTTTTCTAACTTGAAAATCTAAATTTCTAACTTGTAGGATAGAGATGTCTATTAGATCATAAAAGGAATATCGACCCTACTGTAATTGGAGCTGCACCACAGCACCACTTGTTCACGGGATTTTTCAGGTTAGTAACAGTTGAAGACCAGAGAGCTCAGGTGAAGCACCCTTAAGCCAAAACAAACATACATATGCATAATCCCAGTCAAATTTTGATGGTAATGATGATCCCCGTGCTTGATAACCAAAGAAGTGGCAGGTAGCATTAAATTAATTGTTTTTGAGGAAGAGTGAAAATAATCTATTTTGTTTTTTGATCAGGTTAATTCCCAGCCCATTAGCAACATTTGCATTGATGCTCTCTCTGCAGAGAAGGTAACATGATGAATTCATGCAAATTGCATACTCTTGAGTGAGCCATGCTTTGCACCTTCTATATGCTTTTGAGCTGCTTGTAACAAAAACAAATTACCAGTGTTTTTTCTGTTCTGACCTGATGATTCTGCACCAGACAAGTACCATGGAGTCATTCTGCTACCTGATGGGCTTATTGAAAGCATTCCTGAAGTGTATGCTCTCTTTCAGGTAACCATGCAGTTACAGGAAAGCTCCATTATTTTTTCGCTGTCAACCCCACTTCCCCTAAATTAATTTTGTTCATGAGTTTCATGTCTTATGATGGCTTTTCTTTTTTATTAAATCTGGAAGTTAGGAACTTGTTTCTTTAGTTACATTTGGTATATGCTGATGTATTAGTGTGATGTGATGCTATGGTATTGACATCTTGTATGTCCCAGGAAATTCATGGTTTGTTCAGGCAAGTTGTTTCTGTTGACAACATTTCTTCTCAACTGTCACCTTGGGCATCTGCCTCGTTTGAATTTTTGCCACCCTCATTAGAAAGCAGATTATTATCCCACATATTATCACATTGAAAGGTACCTGCATTTTTATTTTTATTTTTATTGTTTTTTTTTTTGAGGACCTTAATGTTAATGGTTCTCATATTTGATGTTTCAGCTCCTCATCTTCCCAGAATCAGATGAATCTGCACAGTTATCCCAGGTATCTAGATTTGCAGTCCTTTTGATACAATAGAAATGAAACTTGTAAATATTGTTGTTGAATTATTGTTCTCCTTTTTTGTGTTCGTTTCCAGATTGAGACAGAAACTTTTAGCTCATCTTGTGGAAGCAGAAATCAACAAGAGATTCCTAAATATAGCCACCTGTGTCTGGGTTCTTATTTAGCTTTTGACAAACTGAAGTTAAATTTTTTCCCCAATACTTTCAATAAATTACAAAAATTCTTAAAATCTTATTCAATTTAAAATACCCCAAAAAGATCATTCTGCAACTATTTGCTATTGGTTTCTTCCATTCCATCCACTGCTTTGCATTTTTATTTTGATGAAGAACCTCATGAAATGATCTGGGAGATGCTGCTGTAGAGTTATTGCATACTCTGCTAGCTGTGCATGCAGAGGTATTTGTAATGCATGCTTTGTGTGGTTTGTGCTCGAAAATTTTCTTGTCTTGTTAATAAATTCTTCTCGCTTTCTTTTCTTTTTCTTTTTGTTGTTTTGGCCTACATGTCGTGCCACACTGTATAATTTCTATACTGAGAAACCATATCCACATCAGTTTAAGGCCAATTTCTGAACGCCGACTAAGCAATATACTAAAAGTGTGCTTTAGTTCATTTGCTTATCCAAGTTTATGAGGTGAAATAATTCCCTTGTTGCCAGTCTTTAAAAAATGCAACTTCTTTTAATAAATAAATAAAAAGTGAATACTAAGGGCCTGATTGTTATGTTTTGTTTTTTCCATTTTTAAATTCCATCTCGTCTTTGAATTTTTAGAAATGAAACATCTAGATTGCAAAAGCATGGTTGTCATGGGATTGTTGCCCTTTTTTAATGTACTTGAGATTTTTAGAATTCATTGAACTATTTTGATTTTTTTTTTTTTCCCCTGTTCTGTTTTGCATTTTTTCCCATTTTGAAAATGTACCTGTTTTTGCAAATGATGCACATCTTCTTTTTTCTTTCTTTTTCTGTTGTTGTCAAATTCACTTTAAGCAAATTCAAGTACATTCTTTGTTTGTCATCATGGTACTTTGATTTAGAAACACAATTTGTATTAATCCTAGTTGTTTCATAAATAGTCATCAATTGGAGCAGGAGCAGACTTCTCGGCACCATCTTCACAAAGGTATTATTTAATTTTAGTTATTTATAATATTTATGATTTACATATTCTTTGGGGTAATTTCTGGTGACAAATTAAATTACGTTTATGTTGGTGTTATGTTTGAATAGAGGTAATTAAAAAGATAAAAATATATATATCATTTTGAAGTTAATTTTAATTGTATGGATATCAAATACTTACTGTAATATGTGGATTAAGTTTTTATTGTAATTAAATGGTTTAAAAGCATTATATATATATATATATATATCTTTTTTGATTGATGGATATTGAAGTACGCTTTTTTTAATTGGTTTTACAGGGTATTTATGGTGCTGAACAATCTCCTGGACAATCTTTCTCATTGCCATCTTTGGTTTTTTGCTTTTTTTTCTTTTGATCCCCAATTTATTTTATTTGCCATCTTGGAGTTTTATGTTTTGTAAAAAGTTACTTTCTATATCATTATGGTTTGGGAATTGAGTTGTGGATGTCAATTTTTTGTTTTTTATATGATTGAATGTAAATTTTAATTTTTGTGCATTTTTAGTTATGAAATTAAAAATGGTTACAAAATATTTTCCAGACATTTATCAACGAAAATGTGTGGCATGGTCTTTAGCAACCAAAACAATTGTGGTTAAAAATGTCATTATTTTGTGTTTTGAGACCAAATTGAGACATTTTTGTGACGAAGTACTAGCGATGAAATGTTTAGTTTTGTAAAAATCAAACATTTTATGATGGTATAATATTGGTTGCTAATTGTTAATTTCAGTGACACTTCTGAAAATTTGTTGGTAGAAGTGAATATCAACTTTTCTAGATGCACTTGTAATGAAATTTCTTGTGACGTATATAATTTTGTCACAAAAAGTATTTAGAGACCAAAATAATGATTTTAGGGATCAAAATAATTGGTTGTGAAAAATCTTATATGTTGCATCTATTCGGAGAAGCCATAAAACAATAACTCAACAATCTAACCATCATTTATTATTTTTCATAAATTGATCAGCCTAAACAGATCATGGAAACAACAGTGTACTTTAAATGCAAATTATTTCTTAAAAAATTGGCAAACCAAATGACTTTAGGAACCATCCAATAATTGTCAACAACCACTTCTTTTTTTTTTCATACGCAGCGAAACATGTATATGCAAAAATATTTGAGTACATGAGTCTTAATTATTTGACTCTGACATTCCGCAAAATAATTAACCACCAATTCAAAAAAAAATTTAATAACTTAATACCGGTATTGACAAACAAGTAAAAGCTCCAAAAATATATTATTGTGATTATTGGACTTTAAAAGTTTTTTTTTTTTTTTTTTTTAGAAAACCCATGCACATTCACCCATAGATGCAAAAGAAATATGTGGATACACTCATCAAAAAGTTTTCCCTACAAGAGAAGAAGTATCAATAAAAAAAAAAAAAAATGGAAAACAATATCCACCCAAAAAAAAAAAAAACTGCAATACAATTTATTATTATTATTATTATTATTATTATTAAAGTTCTCTGAGTGGCCTGTGGTTCTATAATAACATGACCTTCATCTTTAAGAAAAGAAATATGATGATTTCTAGTTCTCCTCCAAGAAGCCATTTGATGAAAGAATCTGTTATTTCTATCTCCAAGCTTTATCCACATTTGTTTTCATTTTTGTGCCCAATACAATTCCTGTTTCTCCAAAAGGCCATCCAATTGTTGTCTCAACTCCATCTCTTTGTCAGGCTGCCCAGATTGATGAAGAAAAGATTGAACGCGTTGTAACTGACTTTGAGTATCATCTATTTGTCCTTGAATACTTCGGAATGATAAAGAATGCCAATTCTTCAAGTGTCTCATCAAAACCTCTTGTCCCTAAATTATTGAGAATTGATTATACCCCTGTGCAGACCACCTCCACACCTTCTTGACAATCTGCTGTGGGTCTCCTCCCTGAACCATGTTGCTTCAAATCTATTCCACTTCGGACCTTTTAAATTACTCCAATCGGTATCAAGCAATAGAGGGCTATGATCCGAACGTTGAATTGGTAAGTAATTAGTGAACATCACTTAAAATCTTCCACCCAACTCAAGGAAGCTAAAGCCCTATTCAACCGTTCATTTCATACACTGCAGCTGAATTCCACCGATTGTTGCACCAGGTATACCGAACTCCTTTACTTGGCAGATCCGCCATTTGGTTTCTGAAAATCAAATTATCAGACTCCTTAGCTCCCTGAATGGGTCAACGTGACAGACTTAATTTCTCCGCATGATTGAAGTCCCCTACAATAATAAATCGATGCTGGAACCTATTGATTTGGCTTTCCACTTGACGCCACACCTCTCCTCTTCTTGAAACTGATGGATGGCCATACAAAAAAACAATGAACCAAACTACTCTAATATCATCCTGAATCTGCAAAGCAATTATATTCGCAGACCTATAAGTTGGCAATACTTCCACTCCATCATTCCACCACACCCATAATCCTCGTGCACGACCATTGCTATCTGACCCACAACTGTGTTTGAACCCCATCACATACCCAATTTTGCTAGCTTGTTGAACCGATTTCTTTGTTTCCATCAAGAAGCAAATATGTGGCCTATATTTTTGGGTCAATTGTTTTGCTGCTTGAACTGTCAGGGGATGACCTAATCCCCTGCAGTTCCAGCTTAAAATCTTTATGGCTTCATAGGAGGTTGTTGAGGGACAACCTCCTGCGAAACCCCTTCTTGGTTTATCTCCATTGATTCAATAGATAGATCCATTATTCTGGCCATCTCCACCTTCACATAGAATCTGTCCATAGCTTCTTGGTTCGGTCTACCCATTTGATATTGCTCAAGAGTCTCAAGCGAGCTTGCCTCCGTATCGTAGCCCGATTCGAAGCCTTGCACTGCCATAGGAATACTTTGACCATCAGCACCTGATCTCCGTTTTCTCCCTCTTCGTGTACCCGTTGCTCCATAATAAAATTTCCGACTGGTACTATCTTATTCACCTACCGTTTCCACCGGTTCTTGACCCAAGTAAGAAAGATTATGATTTTTGGAGCTGCTTGGATTCATGGATGGTCCGACCTGACCCATTACACTCCATTGCCAACCTGCGACAGCTTCCGTTTCTGGCCTTTTCCTCTCTCGATCTTCTTCAGTTACCGAATTATCTCGCCATGCTCAGCTGTCTAAAACTGCAATACAATAGCTTGGCTAAAGACAGTCCCAAGACATAACACATGGCAGCCAAGGTCAACACTTGGTGCCCCAAAGGCATGGCAGCCAAGCCTAGAATGCTAGGCAGCATGGCAAAAGTGCCTACCACATGGTCAACATATGCAAGTGCATGTCGAAGGCAGCGGCAACACTTCAACGCCATTTAACCTTGTCAAATGATACTTTAAGTGAGAAATCAATGTAGTTCTGAAAAAAGTCAGTGCAATCACCAGTTTCAGCAAGTTTTATGAACATTTTTATATATCAATCACAACTATAATGCTCTGTTTTTGTTATTGTTATGACCTGTTGTTATTTTGGTTATAACTTTGGTCATATCTCCATTGATAATCTAGTTATGTTCCATTGTGGTTGTGGTTTTGTTATGATTGAAAAAGTGGATATAGTGGTATAAAAACCACAAAATATAGCAAATTACATATGGTACGCTTAAAGTTGTACTTTATTATAGAATTTCTCAACCAAAAAAAAAATAAAAATAGTAATAATAATAAAGTTAAAAGATAAGCCCCAAACTCAAGCTAATACAAACTAGAAGCCTATTTTTGTAAGATTGAGTAAACAAACTGATAACAAAAAATAAGAATGCATATATATGCAACAAATCATTCCAACCATGTTTGCTACTGTTGTCTATACCAAGAACCCCTGGGGCAGCAGCACCTTCAACATTGTAATTACTCAACCGTATATGGAAAACATCACTTAATTACTGATGTTATTCATAGCCAAATTCAACATTGACAAAGTATCCAATTTCCAAAATTTTGGTGAGATTTCACTACCGAAAATTCTAAAATATAACAGAAGGGAAATGAAAAATTTCACGGGGTGCAAGTGTAATATGTGAGGGTGCAAATTTATTCTATGTGAGGTGCAAGTTTACTTTGTGAGGGGTGTAAGTGTTGGAACACCAAATTTATTTTTGTTGATTTTCCATTAATGAATTTTCGTTTAGGCATTTCATTAAACAACTAATGGACACACAAAAATGATACAAACAACACAAAAGTTATCACTATCAACAATGGTGAAGGTGCGTGCGTGTGAGAGGAAAAAAAGGATGTCATTGTAGTTGCAAGGGTATATGGGTCACTTAACATCAGATTCTCATGGGTTGATAATAAACTTCCCACTGTCCACTGCTGTTGCAAATTGCAAACTTCCCCCACTAATTTGTAACTTTCTTGCACCACCCCACTGGACAGTAATTCTCAAGCCTTTTCCCAAAATAAGCCAACATACTAACCTATTTTCCAAACTAAGCCTAATTTGGCCAAAATTCCCAAAATAAGCTGAAGTATGTTTCCAAAACACACTTTCAGCATGTTTCTGATCCAGGCGCACAAAATGAATGAAATCATAAAAACGTTGTTACAAAACACGCTTTTAATTAAGAAAATGTTGTTCCTATTAGCGTTTTCATCTTTAGTAAAAGCGTGTTTCAGAATCACGCTTTCAATAGAAAGCGTGGTTAGAAACCACGCTTTTAAAGAAAATTTGGTTTTAAAAGAAAGCGTGGTTCGTAACCACACTTTTAAAAGTTATATAAAATGGCCCACCCCCCTCATTTGCAATCACGCTTCTTATACTTCTTTTTTTTTCCCCCGAACTAGACTCCCTCTGTTCTCCCTCTGCTCTCACTCTTTCTGTGTGGGTTCTCTGCTCTCTCTCTCTCTCTGGGTCGCTCTCTGCTCTCTCTCTCTCTCTCTCTCTATCTCTCTTTCTCTCGTTGGTATGATTGTCTGTTTGTCTCTCTCTCTCAGTTTGAATTTTATATGTGTTTATTTTGTTTGTGAAAATGTGAATGTGGGTACAATGTGAGTAAAATAGGGTTTGCGAATGTGAAAATGTTGTGAATTAATGAAAATGTTGGTAGATTAGGGTTTGTGAATGTGAAAATGTTGTGAATTGAAATTGATATCAATGTGGGTAGAATAGACTTTGTAATTGAAATTGTGGTTTTGAATTCACAGAATAAACCGTAGCCCTAGCCCTAACCCAATTCTAGGGTTTGAAATTGAACCCTAGCCCTAACCCAAAGTTTGTAATGCAAATTGAACCCTAACCTAACCCAATTCTAGGGTTTTCAATTGAATTTGAAATAAAAAATTAGGGTTAGGGCTAACCCAAAGTTTTTGCTTGAATTTGTCTGACAATTCTAGGGTTAGGATTTCAAATTGAACCCTAGCCCTAACCCAAAGTTTTTTATTTTTTATTTTTTATTTTTTAATTCACAATTGAATTTTAGGGTTTTTACTTTTTGATTGTCAGACAAATGTTCACAAAAATAATGAAAAATAAAAAATTTGAACTCTCTTAAAACAGATAATAAAAATCTTATAAAAA